ATGTCTAAGCCCTGCCTTCCTTCCTCCTGTCACTTTTCATCCTCCAGGGACCACGATTCTACTTCCCAGTCTTGATTCTGTTGAGGGTGTGAGAAGGCTCATTCGGAGTTCTGCTTTCTTCCCTTCCTGGTTCTAGCCCTGTTGGGCATATCTCTTAACAGACTAGGAGATTAGTCCCTGTCAACTCTCCCCTAACTGCTTCACAATGATCCTGAGGTAGTGATGAGGATGAAGAGGATTAGGTGGGTGACATATGACTAAGACATTAACATCATAAACTTCTATCATAGCTTCCCAGATGTGGTCTCTTTGCACTTTATTTAATTTCACCTACATAATCACACACACTGTTGTTCTTTCATGTAAGAAAACCATAGGCGTTTTCTCATACAACTTGCTCCATATCCTAGAATGGAACTGGGGTGATTTGGTTTGAATAGAATATTTTTAATTGAATTATATTTTCATAAATCTGACTCCCTTTTCCCCACATACAGTACTGAATACTACAGACAGAAAAATAAATCAAAATGAATGAAACAAAAAGTGACCCACTGATAGGATATGAATACAGACAAGATTCCTCAAACCTCTTTATGCTTCCATTTTTCTGCACAACAGGATATCATTTTAAATTTATAACTAATTTACTACCTGAGTCATTAGTAATCTCTAGTTCCTGATAAGACCTGGTGGGGGAGAGTGGGTCATTTTGCTCCTTCCAGCCATGGGAAGGGTGACTAGGATCACAGACAGAGACTAGAATGAGCTACCACAAACCAGGTCAGATTCCTTCTTCACACCTGCTCCTGAGGTTCTCTTTACTTCCCCAGTTCCTCTCCCATTTTTGAAATGCAGCCCTTCTGCATCTCCGAGGAATGCATCACACCAACGCCTCAGGCTCTGCTCACGCTTCGAAGAGTGAAGGTTGTTAAAAGATGCAACACCCATGGGGAGCTGTAGATCACTGTTTTTAACATCCTGAAATGTATCACAGAATAATAAGTTTAGTTTATGAGACTAAAGGATGTAAATTTGAAATCCTCACTGTACTTATATCATAGTGAAATGGAGAAAGTTCTTGTGTTTGAGCCCAAATACTGGAAACAGAGTTGGTTCTACTCAATAGCTCTCCAACGAATCAGGATTAGATAGATAATCAAAGCTACCTATATGATCAAGTGTGTAGAATATACATGTAAGGGCAAAAATCATGATGATGATGATGATGATGATGATGATGATGATGGTGATGATGATGATATTCAACTAACATATTTTGTGACATAAAGACTTGGGTTTTGGGCCAGGGAGATGGTTCAGTGGAATAAGTGCTTCCCTGGCAAGTGCAAGGGCCTGAGTTCAATCCCCGGTTCCACCAAAAAAAAAAAAAAAAAAAAGACTTGGGTGTTTTGGGACACATAGTGCATAATGTTTACATCCATTGTAGGGAACTGGTGAATTTACTTAAGTCATCTTAATTCCTTTTTTCATTTTGTTTTCCTTCTCTTCCTCCTCTCTCAATCCCTTTTTAATATACTTCTGAAAAAATTATTTTATTTTAAAAAGAAAAAAATAAAAACATTGACACAGAATTTCAAAACAAAATAGTGGGAGATAAAATAATTTTATTTTTTCTGGCCATGCCCCCAGGGTGTGCTGAGATGACCACTATGACTAGGTTTGGTGACTTGAGCCTGTAATCCCAGCACTTGGGAGGCTGAAAACAGGAGGATCACTATAAGTCCGATCTATGTAGTGAGATCCTGTATACCCTGTACTAAATATATTAAATAATAATAATAATTATTATTATTATTATTATTTTATTTTTGTCCTTATATCCACTTTTAATTTAAATTGATATAGGAATTGGAGGAAAATGACTGAGTTAGGTTCCTTTCTCAAAGGTTCTTTGACATAGAGTTGCCTACAAAAATAACAAATCCTCTGATAAATATTGGACAGACCCTTCTTTTTTCCACAGAAAAAGTGTCCTCTGTGTAGCTTGCACATTTGGGGGTCTTTCTCTACCAGAGCTTACTGGTTTCATAGATGTTCCATAGGACAAAGACAGATCCATGTCTGTTCCATAAGTCATCTATGGAATTTGTAATTTTTCCGCACCATAGAATCTACAACGTTTAAGTTTTCAAAAACCATTTGAGAGATCTTCATAAACAAGAGAAAGCAGCAGAAAGAAACTGTGTGTGTGTGTGTGCGCGTGTGTGCGTGCGTGAGTGCGTGTGTGTGTGTGTGTGTGTGTGTGTGTGTGTGTGTGTGTGTGTTGGGGACTGAACCCAGGGTCTTCCTAGTAAGCTATATTCCTAATCATTTTTAAATTTAGTTCTAATTTTTATGCAGTGTTGTGGATTGAACCTAGAGTCTTAACACTGAATTATCTCCCCAGTGCTTTTTAAATATCTAAACCAAATACATCATGGGGCTCTAAAAGTTGTTAATTTGTCTAGGCTGGGATTGAACTTTCAATCTTCCTCAGCCTCCCAGAGTGCTGGAGTTATAGAGATGTAATATCATAACTGCCAGAATGGGTAAATATTGTTCCCTGGACAGAAACATTTCAACATTTCAGCTTATTCTGTGTCCCAGTGCCCAGGGACAAAAAAAAAAAAAACCTGTTCTCTCGACCACATAATCAAATTCAAGGGCGATAAAGTTGTTATGGGATTGTGCCTCATTACTAATGATTCAAGGTCTCATTACAAAAGAATGGATAAATATTTATTTTCATCTTTCTTATATGTCCCACATGTCTGCAGATAAGTATGATTCACCCCATTTCCAGGTAACAAGAGACAGCCCAGAGTGGCTCAGTGTCTTACACACACTGCACAGAGAATGTCTGAACAACGTGTGAGCCAGACTTTGGTCTGCTGCCTGTAGTCTCAGGGCTGTGTCCCCTCAGAAAGAGCTGGATGAGTTTTTCTTGTCAAATTGGCTTCAATACAGCTAAACAAACCAAAGCAGACTGTTTTTTCTTTTCTTTCTCTTGGGATTCAGTAAGCTCATCGGTGAAGCACAAGAATTAATCAGTGGACTATAGGGGTTTTCATGACTTAACAGTGGTAGAGGTTTTTATTAATGAGAATGCCTTTTACAGCCAAGTTTTGAAATCTGACACATGGAACTCTTAGTCCTTGTATGAGAATTTTCACATGGAGTTAGCGTGGATTGGCTATTACACAAACTTCAGGAATGTTTATCACTTGATAGTTGCATGAGACAATGTAGTTGATAATGGCAGACAATTCTCTTTGACAAAGTAAATCAGTAGTGTACACAATACAGGCAATACATGGTAACACTGAACATTCACTGGGTGATGCAAATTCAACAGCTACCTACCACATACAGGCTATATCAAAAGTCTCACTTGTGTGATAAGGGAGAACACAGAATTTGAACTGATTATTGTCATAAGAAATTGCAGTGCAGGGGCTGGACAGATAACTCGGTGGCAGGGGCTGGAGAGATCGCACCTGCCTGGAAAGCACAAGAACCCGAGTTCAATCCCGGGTACTGCACGGCTGGCCCAGAAACCCCAAGTGTACCATGTCGGCCACTGAAACCAGGCATGATGCTGCATGCCTGTAATCCAAGCACTGGGAAGGCTAAGACAGGAGGACCACTATGAGTCTGAGCTGCGTAGAGACCCTGTACCAAATAAAAAAATGTAACGCAATAAACATCTTAAGTAAAACAGAGTCCCACCCTCAGGAATTGTATTCAGTATTAAGCATCTGTTAAGGGGTTATGTCTCACTATATACACCATGGAAAGACTTTAATCCAATGTTGTAATAAAAAAGAATGTTTTAGATGCAGCATACAGTTGCATACCAGTTACACAATTTTTCAAGAAAATTTACAAATACATTTATTAATATTTATGGTATGGGATTATTGATGGAAAATATACTTGCTAAGTTCAAGACAGTTATTGCATCTGTGGGGCAGATATATAGAGGAGTGGAATTATGCATGGGTGTAAGAAAACTAAAATCTATTGGTTAATATTTCAAATCTCCATAAAATAATAGGTCTAAAGCAAATAGTAAGTAACGAAAGTCTTATTTATTTATTTATTTTATAAGCCCAGGGTGCCTGCCCATTAGCTCAGTTGTTTAAGCCCCTGCTCATGCAAATACAGTCAGGTGCAAGATACTGCCTGTTTGAGCCCCACCTTCTCCTGCATTACCAGACCCTCCCTGAAGGCAGCCTGAACCAGCTGGAGAGGGAGGAGGGGGCATCATTATTTTATAAATCCAAATGTAAAGAAAGAGCAAAATAAAGGACAGATGACCGACTGGAAGTAGGGAGACAGAGCTTTCTCAAATGAGAAGGGGAAGCATAGATGGGGGAGGGGAGGACTTAACAAGGAATTAAGATGTGTTATGCGCACAAACCAGCTCCCCACTAGGAATGAGAATATTGGATACTGTAAGCTTGTACTACTAATGTAGTACTTTCTAAAGCATGGCAATAGTCGAAGGTATTGATCTTCAACCCTGAACCACTATGAACCACACAAGTATGGAACATTAATTTTACCGGTGCTAAGCCACCCAGGGGATTGGTGTATTTTGACACTCAGAGGTAAGCACAATAATCAACTGGGATTGATGACTTCTGTTCTAAGCACTTTATATATTTTACTGATCTCAATTTTTTTAATTCAATGATTGTTAACATTACATATTGTTGTCTTCAAATTAGTTGTTCTGATTACCAGATATAAGCATGCAAAATAGGTCCAAAAAATTCAACATTAACTGTTCCTTTCAAAAGCCTACTAAAAATCAGCAGTGCAATTATGGAAGCTGTCCTGTGGGTATTTTTCCAAAACTGAAGACATGATACCGCAGTGATGTATGTGCACCCATGTTTATAGGGCTGCAATTTGTCACAGATAAATTCTGGAAACAACCCAAATGCCCATCAACTGGGCAACAGATAAAAAAGATATGGTAGTTTTACACAATGGAGTATTACCCAGTGATACAAGATAAACTCAAGGCTTTTACAGGTGAATGGATGCAACTAGAGAACACACTCATAAGTAAAATAAATCAGATCAACATATACACATCGAATTGTCTCCCTAGCATAAAAGCCTGAAAGAGTAAATAAAATCTAAAAGGTACAATAGATACTGTGAAAAGGAAAGAAACTATTCAAAGGGAAGGAACAACTGGGATGAGGGAAAGGAGAAAAAAATAAAGAAGGGAATTAGGAGCTGGGGAAATAGCTCAGAAGAATAAGCGCTTTCCTAGCAAGTGCAAGGGCTTGAGTTCAATCCCCAGTTCCACAAAAAAAAATTAAAAAAAAGAAAGAAGAGAAATATATATCTATATTCACATGAGTAATACTGTCGAGGGCATAGATCTCAAATGTCACAGCTTTACCAATGAATTGCTTTAATCAAAAAAATAGACAAAATGCTGGGTCCTGGTTGACTTATTATAGTCCAATTATTTAAATACAGGATAATCAGAAATTGAATATTTTCGTTAATTTCTATACAACCAGAAATATTAAAATGATAATTTTACTACATTTCTTGAGTAATTTTTTGTGCATGTTAACCCATTCAGTCCACAACCCAACATTACAATCTGGGCAGTAGCATCTAGTTTTTTTCTGAATTATTTTTACATTATTGTCTTTCTTTGAAAAATACCTTTTTCCCTGTTGTGCCAACCTGTCCTGTTTTCCTTGTTGTGGTGTAATTTCATTAAGATGTCTCCCCACTAAATGTAATGGTGAAGATGTTGATGATAGATGCCATGTTTGGTGTTTTGCTATCTCATATTTTTCAATAATTGGATCTATTAGACCTAACCTAATTGTAAATGATTTTGAAGCCTCTTGTTTTGCATAAATAACAAATGAGTTCCATACTGTTTTGGTCTAGAAGGTGCATAAGCATTTTATCACATTTTCCTTGCTTTTTGGCTTCAAAACAGCTTGATAGGCATTGTCAACTCTGTCAGTACCTCCCATAAAATTATGATCATCATTGAGCAACTACTGGAAGTTTTTAAGTTTTATTTCTTCTTTGAAGTTCTATCATTTCTGCATTATATAGCTGATAAGTATTTTTTGTCTTTTCATTTCATAACCCAGATGTTTCATCTCCAACATGTCAACATTTCTTCCTTTCTCAGTATTTTTTTTTATTCTTTTGCAGATCTTTTGGCATTTCCTTGCTATCCAGTCCCCGTGTCTCAAATGTGTCCATTTTGTATTTTAAAAGACTGAAATGGGGGGGGCGGGGAGATGGCTCAGTCAAATTAGTCGAATTAGTGCTTGTTTGGCAAGCTCAAGGGCCTGAGTTCAATCCCTGGTTCCGAAAAAAAAAAAAAAGACTGAATAGAAAGAAATTATTCAAAAAGGAATAGGAACTGGGGTAAGAGAAAAAGGAAATAAAAGAGGGGAAGAGGTAAAAAGTACAATACATTTATATGTGCTAATATTATTTGGAGAATTTTTAATATCTTTTTTTTTTTTTCGGAACCAGGGATTGAACTCAGGCCCTTGTGCTGGCCAGAGAAGTGCTTATTTCACTGAGCCATCTCCCTGGTTCCTATTTGGAGAATTTTTTATGCCCACGTGTTGTACTCTGAGTACTTTGAAGATAGCAATATGTAATGTATTAACTATTTTTATTTTCCTATTATTTCATTTTGGAATTTTGCTTTTATTTTTTCAGTAAAGTTAAAAAATGTAAAACTAAAAAAATAAAGGTACTGCTAAGTTCTGGGGAAGTATAAAAATACTACGTAACGTATTTATGATAAGTTTTTAACACAAAATTATAGGTTATTTTTCACAAATAAGGGCTGGCCAAATAGCTCAGTGGACAAAAGCTCCTTCTGAGGCAAATGCAGTAGCCAGGGGCTCAATCTCTGTGCCTGCCGTTCCTCCCCTGCCAGCCCTGCCCCCAAGGGTGCACTGAGATTGCAATTGAGACTGGGCTAGTGGCACTCACTTGTAATCCCAGCACTTAGGAAGCTGTAAACAGGAGAATCACTGTGAGTCCTATCTACATAGTGAGACCTGAACACCCTGTAGACCCTTCCCTAAATATAGAAAAAAAAACCATCAAATACAATAAACATTAGTAAAAGCAAGCAATCAGAACTTAATACTAAATTTCACTAGAAACAAACATGAAAGGAAAATACAATATTCTAAATAAGCAAGTATGCAAAAAAAAATACTGATGTAAAACAAATAAACAGACATAGGAGAGTATTTTGTACAAACAAACACCAACTCAAAATGACACCAGCTAGACCGACGCTCAGGATTGTCAGTAAGTATACAAATGCACTGCCCAGGTGACCCATGGGATAAACTGTTAAGTCGCTAACTTGTTTCTTTTTTTAAACAAACTTTTCTTTTCCAAAAGCTGTCCAAGCAACATAGAGACACAAAATCTAACAGAAGTCTTAGAATTCCATCTCATGGGCCTCTCAGAGGACCCAGACCTGCAGCCCATCCTCTTTGGGCTCTTCCTCTCCATGTACCTGGTCACGGTGCTCAGGAACCTGCTCATCATCCTGGCCGTCAGCTCTGCCTCCCACCTCCACACCCCCATGTACTTCTTCCTCTCCAGCCTGTCCTTGGCTGACATCTGCTTCACTTCCACCACAGTCCCCAAGATGATTGTGCACATCCAAACTCACAACAGAGTCATCTCCTATGCGGGCTGCCTCACCCAGATGTCTTTTTTCATGCTGTTTGGATGTTTGGATAGTCTGCTGCTGAGTGTGATGGCCTATGACCGCTTTGTGGCCATCTGTCACCCCTTGCACTACCAGGTCATTATGAACCCCCGCCTCTGTGGCTTGTTGGTTTTGGTGTCCATTCTCATCAGCCTTTTTGTCTCCCAACTGCATAATTCAACCGTGTTACAACTTACCTACTTCAAGAATGTGGAAATTTCTCATTTCTTTTGTGACCCTTCCCAACTCCTCAACCTCGCCTGTTCCAATGCCGTCACTAATAATATAGTCATGTACTTAGTGGGTGCCATCTCTGGTTTTCTTCCCATCTCAGGGATCCTTTTCTCCTACTATAGAATTGTTTCCTCCATTCTAAGTATCCCATCCTCAGGTGGGAGATATAAAACCTTTTCCACCTGCGGGTCTCACCTGTCAGTTGTTTGCTTATTTTATGGGACAGGGCTTGGAGTGTACCTGAGTTCAGCTGTCTCACTTTCTCCAAGGAAGGGTGCAGTGGCCTCGATAGTATATACTGTAGTCACCCCCATGCTTAACCCATTCATCTACAGCCTACGAAACAGGGACATCAAGAAGGCCATGTGGAGACTCCTCGCAAAGACAGCCTGATCTCAGGCCTAGGAGACAGCTCAGCAGCATAAGCACCTGCTTGGCAAGTGCAGAGCCCTGAGTTTGATACCCAGTACAAAAAAAAAATTGCAGTGTGATCTTATTGGAAGTTCAAATTGGAAAGACTGGAAAATCTCACTTCATTCATCACATCATTTTGTAGCCCTTATAGATTTTTATACCTAAATATTGTTTTCTGATCTGTCTTTAATGAAAATGTGGGAGCATTCTGTATTCCCTGCACTTGTACATTCTTGAGTCCTATTATATGTATGGGGGCTTCAGCAGCTTACTCTTAATGAACAAAGCACCAAAGATAAACTCTTATTCAATCCCTGGCTTGCAGTGCTGGTCCCGTCGCAGAGAACGCTGAGAGGGCAATTGAGACTGGGCGTGGTGGCATGCGTGCCTGTAATCCCAGCACTTGGGAGGCTAAAAACAGGAGAATCACTGAGAGTCCGATCTATGTAGTGACACCCTGTAGAGTCTGTAGACCCTATCCTGATACATTTACATTTTAAAAGCGCATAACATTTAAAAGATAAACTCTTTAAAAGTACATTTAAAGTATCTTCCTGAGAATTGGAAGTATAATATTACAGTGATCCACCCCTACCCAAGTTTACAGCAGCACAATTTAGAGTAGCTAAATCTTAGAAATGACAGACTTGTATTTCATTCAACAGATAAATGAATAAATAAAATAAATAAATAAATAAAATTCATACACAGTGGAGTACTTTTCTGCCATTAAGATAAACTTGAATCACTTGTAGGAAAATGGATATACCTTGAGACTATAATGTTAAGTGAAATAAATGAAACATACAAGTTTAAATATGATGTGGTTTCTCATACATGCAAAATCCAAAGTGCAAAAGCAGAGTAAAATAAAAGATAGATAATAAAGATTAGGGAAACCTCAGTAGTGTAGATGAGCACATATATAACTACTGTGTGGCTGTGGCTTGTTGTGGTGCAGTTACATATAAAATGGAAGAGTAACTACTTTTGTGGTTTGTATCTAGTTGCCCCCCACCCCCCAAAGCCTCATGCAGTCTTGGGGCAGCTTCTGGAGTTCATAATTGATAATTGTGGTGTGGGTGCTGAACTCACTGGCAGCAGGTGGTTTGGGATTACAGTGTAGGAAGGGAAAAGAAACTTACTGGCACCTCTGCTGTGGCTTCTCCCTTCACCTTTTGTTCTTGGCCACTGCCATGAAAATTCACTCTTTGCCATGTGCCACTCTGTCTGGGAGCCAGCTGACTATGAGCTGAATCTTCCACTCCGAGCCAAATAAACCTTTTCTCCTAAAAAGAAAAAAAAAAAGAATAGGGAAAGAGATCTTTCTAAACATGGAAGGCAATCAAGAGATAAAGGGAAAGTAGAGGGAGGGAAGTACAGGAGTTAAAAAAGGAACTAAGATGTGTTATGCACATGTAGCAATTCCATACAAGTAATTTAAACACTAAGTACAGCAAACATGGACAAAAAGGAGAAGGCGATAGTGCTGGGGAGACAGCTCAGCAGTGTAAGAGCCTGCTTAGCAAGTGCAAGAGTGTAAGTTCCATCCCCAGTACCACACACATGCCAGCCCTGAGCGCTGGGCACACCATGCTGGCCACCAGGAACGGCAATGGTGGCGTGCACCTGTAATCACAGTGCTGGGAAGACTGAGACAAGAGGATCACTACGAGTCTGGGCTGTCTAGTGAGACCTGTACTAAATAAATAAATAAATAAATAAATAAATAATATTTTTAAAAAGAAAGTAATCAAGAGATGGATGGAGGAGGATTGGGAAGGGAAAAGGTATGAAAACGGGAATTAAATTGTAGTATGTACATGTACTAACTCTACACAAAGAAATTGTACTAAAATCATGCACTAGTGAGGAAAATAATCTGAAGAAAACTAAATAAATTTACATGTTTTTTGAAGGCTACTTTCTCAGCTTTTTAAATCCCTTCTTTTGAGACAGAGTCTCATTAACCTGCCCAGGTTGTCCTTGAGATTGTGATTCTGAACGTGAGCATTTTTCAGGAACCTTGATTTAATTGAGAAATTTGTTGATACGCTTTTGCACACCTTCCTTGTCTATGATTCGCTGCTTAACTTTTGTTGCTTTTAGGGTCCTTTCTGTGACTTCTGATGGGCTTAATGTACAGTTCTGACCCTTGTTTGAGAATGCGCTGAAAGTGGCCAGTATCCAAATTTGACCCATATAGAACAAGATTTCCAACTGTATGGGAAGAGTCCTCCCAGCTTTTGGCCCCATGACCTAGTGTTCACCCGGGAGACCACAACATGCAAAGAAAAGACTTCTGCAGACCAGTTAAAACCAAAATGGAATGGCCCCTTTTAATGATTCTTGCCACACCCAGTACTGTAAAGATGGCAGAGACAAATAGTTGGATTCTCCTTTCTACAATAAAGCTATCCTCACTTGAGCTGTCTGAAGAAAATTACCACCAAAAAGAAGAAAGCTACTCCTGTAAACCAATGTAATACCTGAGGTTCCTCTTCAAAAAAACAAGATTCTGGCAATGCTTCAGGTACAGGACACTATACAGGCCCTGCTTCATGTATCAGGTGGTTGAGTGACAGATTCAAGACACAAGAGGATAGACTGTTCCCATTCTCAAAGAGGGACTAGGAAACTCTGGGTGATCCTGGATAGATGGGTCTTGCAGTTCATGCTCACCTTGAGCTCACTTGGTAGCCCAGCCTGGTTTTGAACTCGCAGTGATCCTCCTGCCTCAACCTCTTTAGTGCTGGGATTACAAATGTGCACCACAACGCCTGGATCAATTCCTCACTTATATCAGGTTTGGAACCAAGTGAGTATTTAATCAAGTGACTTAAATACAGCACCAGGCCAGGGGCACAACAGGTTCACCCTTAAGGGCAGCAGCGGGAAGGATTGAGCACAGCAGCCAGACCCAAGCCAGATGCAGCTGGATAAGTCCAAACTTTGTAGAGCTGCACCTGAACTTCAGTACGTGTGAAGGATATAACTACAGCAAAGATCTACAACAAAGATCAGAAGACAGTGCTACACAAAATGACGAGAAGGAACAAAACGCAACCTCAGAACCCAAGCCCACCTGTAACAAGTACAGAGGACACTAACACAGAAAAAATTGGAAATCACACAGCTGAAAGCAATGAATCAGCAGCTTCTGAAATAAACAGCTGCAGAAAGATATAGAAGACGTCAAATTGGAAATGAGAAAAGAAATCCTTGAATTAATAACATCTGAACTAAAGAATCAAATGCAGAAACATATGAAAGAAACCCAGCGCCCACGCAGGTCAAGTGCGGAGGGCACTAGCTTGGCTCAAATGCATGAATTAAGAGCGTCGATAGTAAATAAGCAACAGCACAAAGATATAGAGGAAATCAGAGTGCAATTCTTTTCTGAAATAAAAAAAGAACTCTCAGAACTCATAGCAGATGAAGTAAAGAAGCAACTACAGGAAACCCAATCTGAAAAAAACACTGCAGTAGAAGAATTTCTAACTGCTTCAAAAGAAGACATTGATAAAAAAATTAGAGGAGATTAGAAAAATGACGGATTCCCTGAATAAGCAATTCAGGAAAGAAATAGATCGCATGAAGCAGAGTCAAAGAGATATAGAGGAAATGAAACTGTCAATCGCAAGCTTGCAAAACCATTTAAATGAATGTGAAGACAGAGTTTCAGATCTTGAAGATGCTGGTGTAGCTAGTGAAAAGGTAAGAAAGGATCTCTGTGACTTCCGATGTTTTGACTATAGTATGTGTCGATGTGTAGTCTTTGAATTTCTCATAGCTGAGAAAATTTTTGAATATGTATGTGTACTTCTTTAAACTTGAGATTTTTTTTAAGTTTCATTATTCTGTTAGAATTTGCAAATTGTTGGAGCCAGCGAGATGGCTCAGTGGAATAAGCGCTTCCCTGACAAGCGCAAGGGCCTGAGTTCAATCTCCGGTTAAAGAGAGAGAGAGAGAGAGAGAGAGAGAGAGAGAGAGAGAGAGAGAGAGAGAGAGAGAATTTGCAAAATGTCTCATTTCTCTCTCTTCTCCTGTAACTTTCATAATGCAAAAATTTTTAGCTCCATGAAGTCCCACAATTTTGTTAAAATATCTTCATTTTTCTGTTTTTATTTTCTGTTGCTTAATTGATTAAATAATTTCAACTAACTTGTCCTTAAGTTCCCTGATTTTTCTTTCAGTTTGATAGAGTTTATTATGAGAAACCTATCAATTATTTCCATTTCCATTGTAATCTTAAGCTTCAAAGTGTATTTCTTTAAAATAACATATCTCTGTCAATATTCTTGTTTAATTTATGCAAATAATTTCCTGAATAAGATAAAAATAGTAATAATTTTCCTGATTTTGTTTCCTATCTGTGTTCTCTAGCTTGTTGACCATCTTTGAGATGGTTACTTCTATTTTTACTTTACAGCTGAGGGGATCAAAAGCAGAGATTTTGTGCTAGTTACATCTTGCTAAATACTAAGTTGCCCGATGCAGGTTTGAACTTCTGATATTTCTGCCTCAGGCTCCCAGAGTACTTGAATACATGTGTGCACCACGACCTCAGTACCAGGTGATTAATTTGCATTTTTTCATGTAAGTCATTGTTTTATATTTCTTTAAGAAAATTTGATAGTTTCTGAAGATTTAATTTATTCCTTGGACCATATTTCCCTGTTTCTTTCCATGACTTTTTTTTATTTAGGCATATAAAACAGCTCTATATTTCACTTTTTAAATTAAATTCTTGTCTACAATCATAGTATTTATGTCTTATGCCTAATACATAATGACTTCACTTTAATAATGCAGTTTGTGTAGTTCAAGTATCCTAAATGTCTCAACACACAGCCTCTGCCTTTTATATTTATCTCTACACTGCTGCCATTTGGTGTCTTCTTAGAATCTTCTCTGTCACTTATCTGCATGTAGCTAAACATTATAATTTCTTTCATATCTACTTTGATTAGGAATGT